TATATATATATATATGAAAATGCGTATTTTTGAATGAAAGATAATTGATAGATTTAATATGGGCTGCTTTTGGTGACACTTTTTATTGGTCATTTTGTGTGTTTTACGAATAACAAGATAGACTACAAGGTTAAGAAGCTTACTTAAATGTAAAATGTTTTTTCTCTTATTTTGCAATAAAAGACGGCTTCCCTTATTGATCGCGTCTCGGGTAGATTGCATGTTTTCTTGCACGGCGGGATGTGGGACTCATGAAAAATAAAAATAAAACTTTTAGATATCAGTCCGCATATGTGATGGAAATTGGTTCTTTGGTATCTATGGTATCTACTTTGAAGGCATCTTGAGTAAAACTGCTTCATATTTAAATGCAAAACGTTTGAACCGGATGCGACGAAACCCGATTGTAACAATAATCCAGTCTGTAGTGTTTGTTCAGATCAATGTGAAAATCCACCCACATAACCCCGTTTTAAATTAATATAATAATTTATACTTCTGACTCATCCCTTTTCTTAAAAAAAAAATGGTTTAAAGACTAATCCAGTAATTTACAAGCAGCTGCTTTCCTCTTAGGCTCAAAGGCATTTTACCTGCCTCTACCGGGCACGAACACTGTTCAAGGTCTCTATTAATAATTCGTGCTTGTAGTAATTTAATGTGTATATATTTTGAAAGCATAGAATCGCTACAGAAATCGCGATTCATTCGATTCGTAGCGTTTTAAATCGATTACTGTCCGAAATCGACGATTCACGATTAAAAAATCCCCGTTTCAAGATCGATGCATATATGCATCGTCAGGGTTTGTAAACGATGCATCGAGAAAACGAGTGAATCGTTACACCCCTACTTCTCAGTTGTTGATTTGTGAACTTGCTCGGAAATGATTCGTCATCGATTTGTTCAGATCGATTCAAGTGATTCGTTGAAAAGATCTCAGTTATAAGATCGAGTCGGCAACGGTTGGCAATCGGACGTCACTAATACAAAGATGAGATTTTATTTTATTTCATTTGTATCAAGGGTCTGAATTATTGGCTTACATTTAGCTAAAATACTGTTCAGTTGTAGTTAAAATTAAAATATCACCCAGTGGCAATATCAGCATTAAAATAGCCTGTGTACTTTATTTACTTAGAGAGACAAAACACTGAAGCTACGACAACATTAACCGACATAGGCAACTGAATAAACTTTGGTGGCTTTCCTCATTCTTAAAACTGAACAGTTTGCATTATATCTCGCTATACGCAAGCCATTTAAAGAACATACCGGCTGCGATTTTGAGCGATCTGTGGACTAGCAAGGGAATATTCAGTAGCAGGTTGCTAAATATTGGTAAGTCGACACCACATTCAAAATAAAACTAACATTACTATCATTAGAGCCCGCGGAAAGCTAAAACGACCGGCTGCCATGTTGTTGACTTTAGGCAAATCTCATGGATCAGTCCGTGATTCAGCCTGAAAAAAGTAAGTTGCCGCTTTTTTCGTGGTTTTGCAAGTACGTTACCTACGAGCTAATGTTTGATCAATGAACTTTGCTTATTGTTTTTATTAATGCAGTGGAACTGGTGGTTGTCACTCATGTTGTTGATGCCATCACGTTTTGGGCTCAGGTAAGCTAAATATTTAGGCTAACGTTTACCAAGTCAATTTGACATGACAATGACATCTCTTTGATGTCTGATTACATTGATTTAGCTGCTATTGTTAGTTTATTGAGTCAAACATCTAAATTACTTAAGCATTTATTTTAGAGTTTGTGTTTTTTGTTTAGTTATTTAAAATGTAGTGTGTTTTTCAATTGGTTTGTTTTTGTTTCACCAGAATGTGACAGACAAAATAAATGAGAAGATAAATGTTATACTGATAGAAAAATGCCCCAGCGCCCCTATACTGATGGGAAGACCAAGTTCACACAAGGCAAGTAATATGTGGTCAAATAGGAAAGGTAAAAAAAAAAAATAGATGTGACTCTTTTCCATTTTCTATGTAGGTCTATGGGGCACGATATTCAGAGGACAAGTGCTGGTACAGGTGTACTTTGCAACAGCAATCAGAAGACAAGGTGTGTAAAAAGCTGAGAAAATCAAGAAGGATCCACCATTGTGCCAAATTCTGAACCTCACTTTTATTGTTTATTACCTCCCTCGGGCCCCAGTATGGTTAGGTGTGGGTGGGAATTAAGGAATAGGGACTAATCCGATAGCAGCCTCAACAAGGGAGCCTCAGCAGTGTTGCCAAACCCCTCCCTCAGAAAATCTCTAGAACCAC